CCCCCACACACACACAAAAAGGAATATTGCACAAATTAAATTTTTTTAAATCCCCTCTATTTTTTCACTGATTACTTCTCGGGAGTGTACTTTCATCGGTGCCAAGACTTCTTTCCTTCTCCTTGACTGCCACGGAAACATTGGCCTCCATAATTTGTACATGTATCATTAGCATTATCATCATCATCATTATTGTATACAGCAGAGAGTAAAACGGTTGAGACTTGGAATCATCATCATCATCATCATCATTATCATCATCATCATTATCATTATCATTATCATCATCATCATTATCATCATCATCATCATCATCATCATCATCATCATCATCATCATCATCATCATCTTTACCGTTGTCTTGTACAGTCATAAATGAGGTCCTTATCAACCATTAAAATGTCTTTTAATGCTAGTCACATCCCATACTCACCACCCCCAACCCCACCCCTCCTATTCATAGTCTCTTAACTTATGTGTACAAATGTAATGATTGATTAATGGTTGTATTTATTTCTCTTCGGCGAGAATCGTTTCGACGATTGATCAATGCTTTTTCTTTGCCTTTGATTTTCTTCTTCTTTTTACTTTTTATCAATGTGTGCTAGAAAAAACGAAGGCTAAACTTCAGTACATGCATTTATTTCGACAGTATGTTTAGGTTTTACCATTATAACATTGTGTTCCGGGAGGGAAAAGGGGGGGGGGGGTAATTCCGCTATTATCACGGGGCAAAACAGAAAATTAGAATACTACACGCTAAAAAAAAAAAAAAAGGCTATTTTCTGGATGAGAGCAAGTTAGAAAGTTTGGAAATATTGTTTCCAAATACCTCTCTGGCAACTTTTGGAGACAGCAAAAATACAATATTAGAATGGAAGAAATATTTGACAGTGTAGTCTAAATACCTGTGTTATGAGACGAATGAAAATGCGATGTTTCGTCATAGCGCTGCTTGTGTTCCAAAACTTACAAGGAACGAAATAAGTTTATAACGCTGACTGGAGCACATTTTTAAAAATCTTGTATAGTTCATGAATGCATTATTCGTATCTAAATCGTAATCTCATTATAGTATTGTGTTTAAAACATGATATCATGTATGAATTATTTAGCAATGTTCGTTTTGATCATTAAAAAGTAAATGATGTGTATAAATTGGCTTTTGAGTGAGTTTATTATTTTTTTTTTGCTCCTCTTTTTGATTTTTTGTTTTGTTTTGTTTTGTTTATTTTCTCCGCAGAAGGTAGGCCTAGTGTGACTGGGAGCATACACGTGAATATACAACATACAATACAAGTTCGATGTATAATATTTATACGGGCCGTCTGTTGTTTAAATGAATAGTCTCTTTGGCTTTCACTTGCATACTGAGTTGTTGGGGTTTTTTTTTTAGTAACAGTTTTACGCACGTGCAACACAATAAAGTCATATAAGTGCCGAAGATTAGACTTAGACTTAGAGGTGTTACAAGAGAGTAACACACATAAAAAAGAAGGAGGAGAGATCAGGACGATAGATGTTTGATAGGAAAGAATGAGCAAACCACACCAGAGCACCCACCTTTGATAGGAAAGAATGAGCAAACCGCACCAGAGCACCCACCAATCGCCCACTTTGCATACTGAAGTTGTGGGTCGATTTCCATCGTGGGAGGAATACTTTATTTAGTATCTCCATCTCGGCTTCAGCTTGGATGAACAATCGAATTTGTCCAAGACAGCAACCCATTATCGAGGAGAAAAAGATTGTCTTAGAAATGAGCATCCGCCAACCACCCACAACTTCGACTGTATGTGTCTGTGACACACAGCACTTGTTGCCTTGACAAGTATGCTCGATGCAGCTATGATCCTAAATACTAAAATAAATTAATAGTAATAGTCTGTCTAAACTCAGTGTGGCTTGGTCGAAGGGAGGGGATAGGGTTCGGGGTGGTAAATGTGTACGGTATATTAATATTATTATGTAGCAGCAAGACAAGTCTCGATTTGTTTCAGGTGAATTTTTTTACACCAAAATTTTATCACAGCATAGGATGGGCAATCAATTCCATATACGGCATACATCTCCGTAAAAATATCCCGTAGTTGCTTCCTGCAAGAACAAAAACTTCATTACTGCCCTGTGCTCAATTTTCTCCATTTTTATGTTGAAACTGGAGAACAACATACCCCCATTCACTTACAGTGCGCTGGTGTTAAAACCAGCAATCAGAAATGCCCCAAAATTTACAATATGCATTCTAGGAAGATGATTACTGGCTTTCACCCCGAATTTCAGCTTTCTATCTTTATTCCTTTATGGTCAGGTAAAAAAAAACAAAAAAAACTTTTGGTATGCTCCTCGTACTACATGCATTTACTAATGACCTATCCGAGAGAAGTCAGAATCGGTCTCTCTTCCTGGTTTATCTATTACTCTCAGCCCGTTGACCTGTGGGAGAGCAAGCATTCTGCTCTAGAAATTATCTGCTCTACCTGTATTACCGTAGTATAACGATTTTTTGTTCTTTTTAGTAAAAGTTTTACGGTACTTGCAACACAATAAGGATTCGTTCCAGCAAAAGCGAACAAACACTAAGTTCAGTTTAGTGTCAATAAGGTTATACGCGCTCGCAACTGCATAAGGCTATATGAGCGCCGAGGGGTGGATGTGAACAGAGAAGTCTTAACGGGGAATCAGGCTTACTCTGCTAACCTCTCTAGCCTCAACAGCACTAAGTCTGCTTCGTCGACTATCAAGGAACCCCGGAAATAGCAGTGAGTGACAAACATACAAAAGAAATAGAGGACATGACTATAGTAGGGATGAAGCAAGTAAAAGCAGCAGTTCCAGCAAAAGCGAACAAACACAGACAATTGATGCACAACTCTAAGAAGAGAAACTCGAGAAAAGCAGAACGGAGAAAACTTGTCACTTTCAATTCAAGTAAGGGCGAATACTAGGAAAATTTGTTTTCTTTCGGATAATTTTCTGAATTATGCCCCTTTGAGCACATATCCAGTTAAATGATGGCCTCCGTCGAAAAACACTGCAGACTACATGTACGTAAAATTAATAAGATAAAGAGTGGGAGAACACGCTTTATTAATATAATTTTTAAAAACTATTTCCTGGATAAAATTGAAGGCCTAAGGACAAATCTAAATAAATTAGAAATCCACCCAAGTGGGAATTGAAACCACATAATATAATATGAATTTCAAGTATAAATAAATTACCAAACCCCAATTTTTATTATTAAGTAGGCCTACACTGCTTAGAGTTACTTAGTTTTAGTACGTGTTTTATGGCACTTCCCACAAAGATAATGAAACGCTGAAGATTAGAAGCTGTTGAAAGAGAGTAGAGTCACAAACAGAAAAATAAAAGAGGAGAGATACAAGACGATACATGTCTGATAGAATTAGATCTACATCACTTTTATTTCACGTAACCCGTCTCTCTGCACCATCTCTCTCTAGGCCTACCATTTGCCCCACCTCACTCTTTACTGGACTAGCCAATCACTATGCCGTCCGCTGACTGCCTGCCTGCAAGCCCCCCCCCCATCCTCAGCTAGAGCTCTCTCGATCTCTCCCGCTGTATCCGAGTTCTGGACTTTCCTTTCCCCCGCAATATCCAAGCAAAAGTAATTAAGTTTCCGGTAAGGTCCCGTTATAGCATGTGCCGCTGTAGTCATGTTCTACTGTTAATGAATGTTTGATAAGAAAGAAGGAATAAACCACACCAGAGCACCTACCAACCCCACGCGCATAGAGTTGAACCCAGAACGCACACATGCAAGTCCAAAAGCATCCACACCCAGGATAACACACTTTTAAGGACTTATAATACTTAAGCAAACAAAGATGCTGCCTTTATTTTATTTTATTTTTTTAAATCACAAATTTATCGAGTATCTCAGTCTTTCTGCTGGGTCGAAAGCCCATCTCCCAAATGATCTATTTTAATTTTTTAAATTTTTTTTAGTTGTCGTAAGAGTGTTATGGCACTTGCAACACAATAAGGTCATATAAGTGCCGAAGAATAAATGAGTTACAAGAGAGTAACATACACAAAAAGGAGGAGGAGAGATAAAGAGGATAGCAGATGTTTGATAGGAAAGAAGGAGCAAATCACACCAGATTTTTAGTTTTAGTAAGTTTTACGGCACTTGCAACACAATGCCGAAGATTAGAGGTGTTTCACAAGAGACTAACAAACACAAAAAAGGGGTGATAAAGACGATAGGTGTTTGATAGGAAAGAAGGAGCAAAGCAACCGCTTATATTCCATACACAAATGTGAAATACATAATATATTCTCAACAAAGAAGCAAAACACAAGTGAGTTTTATTTATTCCTTTACATTAATGTTTATTTGCATGGGGCGACTGGAAACATAACAGCAAGAAACCTATAGTATGCGGCAGACCGCTGGACATGGCATGACACACATAGATATAAGCCAAATCTGCTCCAAATGGATGATGATGATGAGTGACGTTTGATGATGGTAGGGTGAAGTATTGTTATATCTACATATGTACAGACACATTGAATAAGTATGTGCGGCACAAAACCTGAGTCATTTGCTAACGGTCATTTTTTTCCCTCCAGTATCTTTCAAGCATTCATCGCAGTTACTCTCATAGAAAAATAAGACATTCAATATAAAAATTCGTCCATCCCATCCTTCATTTTTCATTTCTGTAATTTTCAACTTTCGTATTCCATAAGCTCCCTCCCATCCCTCTTTTTTTTAAACTCTAAAAACAATACAGTTGGGCATTGATAACACAATCACGGAACACTTGAAATAGCAGAGATAGCTTGTTGTATGATGTGCCATTCCCTCGACTGACATCTCTTTAAATTTTTGCAACAATACAGTTTATCTGAATTATGTATGGTTGCGTGAAACACAATTGTCATACGACGTAACTCTTTAACATTTCACTATATCGGTTCACCCGAATTACGGATGTATCGATCTATGACACTAGTCAATCCCCCAACGTGTTTGAGTTTGAGTTACCTGTGCCCAACGGTACAGTTATCGGGTGCACAAGAAGACAAAGGCTAAAAACAGAAGTCTGAGTATTTGTTAAGTTGTCATCACCTGCAGGCTACAAGCATTATGCATAGCAAAGTTAAGACAGTACAGGAAAACAAAAAAAAACACAGAAAAAACTAAAAACAAAACAAAATGATTCCAAATCACGTTTTAAAAATTACAATGCTGAAAATAGAACATGGAGAAGGGGGCGCTGAAACTGCAAGGGCTTCCTTTCAGTTGTACCTGTTTGCGATAATGCCCAAGTAATGTACAGCAGACAACGAACATCATTCATCAGTTTTTGAATAATCCTCCTTATTTACAGCAAGGCAAGCACTTCTACGAAAACGTACGGAAATCACTTACTTTCTTTTTTTTTTTGTGGGTTTTTTTCTTTTTCTTTTAAATATTTCTTCTTTCCTTCTTTTTATACATCAATATTTTCAATATTTAAAATTTCTTGATCCCTACACAGAAGGAATAATAGGGCGACAGAGAAATAAGTAAACAGTTCTATGCATGTTATATGTACATGTGTAAGACAAAGGTGATAACGGTATACTCATCTGAAAGCACCTCACAGGAAATAATACGCATACTTCTTTTCCCTTGACGTCAAGTTTTATAAAAGTCAAGGGCTTCTTTCTAAAAATTCTATACACTTCAAACACTTCCGATTCGAAAAAACTTCAAGAGAAGCTACGAGGTAAGTGCAGTGTTCACAGTCACAAATCTGCGTTAAATAGTTTTTAAAAATTAAAAGTCCAAAGCCTCTCACCTCTCTTATAACCCTTATTATAGCCGTGAGTTTGAAAAGACGATTGGCATTTCAGCACGTGAGAAGGCAACCTTCTTAAAAACAGACAACTAATGCTAGATATGAAGAAATTTTGTACAGATGTCTTTAAAACAAGAAAGACCGTAACAATCACAGACTTTTTATAGTAGTTCTCTCGGATGCCTACAACCAAAGATTGCATACTACAAGAAGGGCCACTGCTCTATTTGAGCCACACCAAAAAATAAAAAAAGCTTTCTCAACAATGCCATCTGTATATTATTGTGCATAATTTTAAGGACCGACATATCTTGTGTACAAAGAATTAGATTAAAAAAACACAGTAGAAAAACTATCTTTGAGAAAGCAAACAAAACATCTGAATCAGAGACGCTGGAAACATCTTCAATAAAGTCCTCTTGAACTGAACATCATTACTTAGAAGACAGCAGTAATCCGATATAAAAGAAAAAATCCAACTTTTTTTTCTCTTTTCATTTGAGCAATCTCTCTAAACCGAAAACCTAGCTAACCGAAGAAAATCTGTCAGTCCAACAGATTTCAGTTTAATTAAGCATACTCCACGTAATATTATTGTGCATATATATAACGGAGGACAAGGTTTGTGTGGCGGTTGAACCATCTTGTAGTACACGATCTTTACCATAATTTAATATTTTCGGACCGCAGCAAACAATGAAACATACACATCATGTTTCAATCAAATAGAGTGCCACTTACATCTGTAAGACTGCTATAGCTAACAGAATCATCATCGTTTGTTTGTTGGGGTTTTTTTTTCCATTTTTTTTTTTCTTTTTTCAAATGTCATTTCATTAACTAAAATTAACAAAAATGAAAGGAAGAATAACATACTAGTACACTTTTACCCCAATTCCAAAACAGGAACGGAGAGAACTCCTTACTCAAAGGAAAAACTGTTATTACATTATTATATGCATGAAAATGATAACCCTCATCTCAAATATTACGGAGGAAATCACTAGAGTCGGTAAAGGGTGTGCTGCCAATGATCAGGAACATAAAAACATAGTCCTCAAATGTGATTGCAAGGTAAACGTTTTGTCTTCACGATACGACTAGGGTGTGTGTGCGCACGTGCGCGCGCGTATGTGTGTGTGTGACAGGTGTGAACCAACGCCGGAGGGATTCTTCTCAATCTGCTTCACAAACACGGAATCAGACACAAGCGGGCCACAGATATGTAATGAAAACCCTTTGAACTCCAACCTCTTGGTTCTACTGAGACAAAATGCTTAGCTCCACGGGTCAGGGGATTAAAAAAATTATTTTTAAATGAATAAAGAATCAAACAAAATTGAAAACATAAAAAAAATGTGAAAATAAACAAAACAAAACAAAAACATTTTTAATAGACAACCCCCCCCTCCCCCCCCCCCCAAAAAAAAAAGAAGGAACCCAACGAAAAGGAATGCAAAAGTGACCCGTTGAGAGAATCACCCATACACAAGACCACAACAGGACATCAATGGTCTTGCATTCTCATCCAGAGGTTAAAATAAACATGTCGAGGGGGACGGTGCGTCATACGAAAAGTTATTAACCCCTTCGTGACAGCTACCGTACATCTTGACAGCTACCGTACATCTGGAAATGGACCGTACAGGATTTATAAAAATGTCCTACAATAGCTTTGAAAGGAAAATTTTTTGAAAGATTCGAAATATATGTGATCACAAAAAAGTACCAACCACATAAATCTATAATTTTGAAAGGGATTTCAGAAAAAACTGCTCACTATCCTGGCTACCAAAAATTGTGTGCAGCAAAAGTAAAAAAAACAAAAAACTACAAAAAAACCAAAAAAAACTACACCAGGAAGGGGTTGATACTCGGAAGCTAGTGAAGCGGTACATAACGAGTAAAATCCAGAAATACAAAAGCTAAGACCTTAAGGCGTCACAAGTAAACTGATCATCACGGATGCACAGTAGAAAATTACAAACAAGCCAGAGAACAGGGATACTGTGAACGCGGATACTATTACAATAACGTGCTAGCAAAAGACAACTGGACAAACGGTGTTCAATAGGGTGAAAAAAAAAAGAAAAAGGAATGATAAAGTAGGACAAGACTGATGCCAGACCAGACCAGACCAGCACAAATGACAATGAATTATTATTATATCATCACATCCTTAACAGTCAAAAGTACTGGAAGGTGGAGTGGGCTTGCTACATTCTGAGAAAAACGCTAACCTTCACAGATATGGAACGAGTTATACAGAAATACAGTCAATGCAAACTGGAGGAAAAAAAAACAAACAAAACTATAAAACACTAGAAGTAGTAGTTCCATAAAAGACTTTTCAGTTCTAGCTTTTGCTGTTTTTCTTTTTCCCTTCCGTGGTTTGATAGCGTCATAACACTTTTTTAATGGCGGAGGTGGGACCTGACAACGCTATTCCAAAAATCGGAAGAATTCCTGTTACCCCCACAACAGGAAAAACAAGCATTTCCCACTCGTATTTTTCAGCCATCTCGATCCCTAGACTGTATACATTTAAAAAAACAAAACAAAATGAAGTACAGTAAAACCAAAACGAGCCAGTTTAGACAAAAGAACCACCTTGCATGCAGACATCCACAGCCACAGAACACAAAATGGTAAAACAAGAGTTTGCATAAGAAATAAAAATACGTAACTAATTAACACTCGGATAAACAAAAAAACTATTTTAAAAAATTATATTCAACCTAACACAAGCTGTTCACACAGAAACATAATTTCACTAACATGTAATGCCAGTGATAATGAGAAAATGTTGGAACAATTACTTTTTCAAAAATGACTTCAACTTACAGAAATAAAACCAAAAAAAATTGGAACGTAATCGCTGCTGCAAGGGTGACAAGTCGTGGAGCAAAAATCGCCTTATTTCTAAACTTTACAGAAAAGCAATGTACGCTGTGCTATAAATCAATCAATAAAAACATGCACACATTTCAGCACTTTCTTTCCTTTTCCACAAGTAAACAACGACGACTCATTTTTCACATATCAAACATTAGCACCTTTTTCACATCCGACAAATTCACCGTGAAAGTGCATTCTTTGAAAAATAAAGCCCAAAGCATATTATTATTATTACACGTAGTGTGAAACAGCTCTCTCTCATGTTAGCGATACTACAACAGGATATGCGGGGACTTTGCTCAGCTTCGCTAAACAACTTTCTGTCGTCGACAACAAGCAATACGTTCACCTAAGGCACCGTGTCCCACATGAAACTGTTTACTCCTCCCTGATGCTACAGTGCAACTTTGCTGAACCCAATAACACAACAACAGGATGGGCAACAAATGGGGGAGGGGAGGTGGGGGGGGGGGGCGAAGTGGGGTGGAGGAATAGTGGTCGTTGGTTGTTGCGAGCTTAGCTGATTGTCTAAGTAACTTAGAGGCAGGCAGGGTAAACGTAGTATACATCAAGCCAAGGTGTTAGTTAACACAATTATTTATAGACGGACAAGCTTCCCGTTGCCAAACAGCAAATGAAAACGATGCGGGAGCATAATGAGTAAAGAAAACTTTAGCTCCCAGTCTCAACAAAGATGCACTGAATACCAACCAGAGTTTCTACAAAATTTGTATTACCTTATTTCAGTACTTTTGGTCTGATGCCCAGGAAAAACAATTTTTGTATCAAGGGTCCTATTTGAGACACCTCTTTCACTTTAAAAAAACCGCTTTGCCGGTGATCAAACTTCTGAAAAGTGCAAAAACGCAATGCGACTGAAATAACGCTTTCACTGTGGTTCACAAAGGCCCACTACAGCAGCAAACAATGTCATGGTCTTCCGGTCCAATACCATCCAGTCATAACCGATGTGGCATATCCGCAACATGGTTTTTAAAAAAAGCATTCATCCAAGGCAACAGGAAACCTGTGTGTCATTCCATTCCATATATGTCCACGGGAGACAAAAATCCAGAAATTTGCATGATAACACAATTATGAATGTTTACTAGTTGACAGGATTACATCCTCCCTCATCCCCATTCCCCACCCCGGCCCGAACCCTTTTCAAAATTAAAAATGTTCTTTTAATTTTAAAAAATAAATTGTTAATCTCCAAAGAATTCTAACAGTCACTTAACAACCATTCATTAGTGAAAATGACTGAAGTCCAGAGAGTGGTCATCGCCTTCAGGGGTGACTGGAGCTGACAGCAGCATGGGGTCACCGCTGACCGGCGACATCTCGTCCATCATCAGGTCATCCATCTGAGAGGGGAACAAGAAATATAGGACAATGAGAAAACAAAGAGTTATGGTAAAGGAGACTTTAGTAACACACTTACTTGATAAACAAAGATCAGTAACAATCTCCATAAAAAAACTAAAAACTAACTAAAAACGTGGTTTCTGAAGCTTTTTTTTCTCTGAGACAACCCTTTAAATTCTTCACCTACGAAATGAGAGGAAATGGGTCTCCTCATCTGAAAAAACTGACCACTTAAAGTAAATCTGAATGTGTTCTTTTTAGAAATAGAAGAAGATCCACACCAAAACTTTAAAATATATATTTATGTTCTGATCATTTAGCAAGATGCCAAGATGACTAAAGAAGTGGAACACACAAACAAACAAAAATAAAAATAAAACAACAAAACAAATCTCACATTGGTTAAGGAGTAGGTGGTCTGTGTGCTTGTTGGGGCCGTGTTCATTATTGTGGTCAGTGGTGGGGAAGGGGCAGACGGGGTCAGAAACTCCATGGACAGTTTCTTGACCGTCAGTAGGTCATTGGTGTCCAGGTGCGGGCTCTGTAGGCCATGAGACTGGATGACAGAGCTCATTTGCTGCAAAAGATAAATTTTAAAAAGCAAAGTAGAGTAAGAAATAAAAACACTAGGAAGCATGCAAGTCAGATGAAAGTTGTCAAAATCCAAAAAGACGAAAGAAAAACTATGAAATGGCTGGTTTTAAAACGAACAACCCGCACTGGACTCAGTTTAAGCCAACAATAATGATTCAATATGAGCCAACCGTACTGTTATGATTCAGTAATAGCCAACAATACTAATACGATTTAATATTAGCAAATTATTTTAAAACTACAAAACGTATTAGGATTCAGCACTCACTAGAGTAGATATCGTACACACATTCACCTTCCAACCCTTCTGAATGTAAACAGGGATGCCAAATGATTTTTGAAAAAAACAACTGAAAATGAGCGGAGCATCACACTTAACCTAAAACGAACCTTGTAAAATCTTTAAATGAGCCAACAAAAACATTTCTCTTATCATTCCCCTTTCCTTTGCAAGTGTATGAAAAAAAACCCAGAAAAAAGCTGGAAAAACCGGAGATTTGGCATTCCTGTATAAACCACAAAGCATAAACAAGTACATTCTATTTTTTTTTTTTTACCTCCTAAACAATTCAAATTATCAATGCTTTCCCCTCGTTGGCTTGGTCAAAGACTTACGTTGAGCGTGATCAAAACTTTGCGTAGGTCCGACTCTGTCTTCTTCTTCTGCTCTGTGATGGCCGACAGTTTTCTTTGATCGTCTTGCAAACTTTTGATATAGTCAACTGACGCCTTGAGGATATTGCCTTTGTTCTGCCTGGATTCGCTGTCACAGAAAATGGACAGACATGTCACAGAAAATGGACAGACATGTCACAGAAAATGGACAGATGTGTCACAGAAAATGGACAGACATGTCACAGAAAATAAGAAAATGGACAGACGTGTCACAGAAAATGGACAAACAAGTCACAGAAAATGGACAGACATGTCACAGAAAATGGACAGACATGTCAAAGAAAATGGACAGACATGTCACAGAAAATGGACAGACATGTCACAGAAAATGGACAGACATGTCACAGAAAATGGACAGACATGTCACAGAAGGGCAACAATGAAACAAAAGCAATCGCACAGAAACTTGCCAAAACCTTCAATCTTAAATGCAACCTTTTGTCTTCTTTCCACATTGATTAGCCACGCAAAAGTCTACAATAGCGAAACACACACCCTCAAAACCCCATAATGACGGAATCAACCTTAGAAATGACTTAGAATTATGTTTGAAGTTTTAATTTTGGTAGAAGTTTTAAGGTGCTCCCAACTGAATAAGGTCACATGAGCACCAATTGTGTTTGAAGGATGTTAAACTCATAATAAAAAAAAAAAACCCAAACAAACAAGAACAAGAACAAAAACACACACATTGTCTCTCAAACACATGTCAAAAGTTCACGGAGACTTACGGGTCAATGGAGCGTGGAAGGAGTCCACCGAGCTCTTTGATGCGGTCATTGATGTTGAAGCGTCTGCGCCTCTCAACTGTGACGGAATCAAAAAAAAATTTGGGAATAAATGAGTCACAAAGAAGCAGGACAAAACTGGACAAAAGCCATAGCAAACCAACAGAGATAAAAGTACCAATGAGAATGTAAATACTTTCAGGAAGAAGTGAGTTCTACATCCCTTTTAACATCAAATGATAATATTCAAGACGTAAGACCTCCAAACTAAATAAATGTCAATCCCCTGCAGACCAAGAAGATTGGTTGGAAAGCTTCAAAAACTTTCAAAACCACTAAAGTTCAATAACTTATTATAATATAAAACAATTGGAAATTCGAACCAAGCTCATCTTAACCATAGCAAAGCATAATACTAACTGCGACGAGTCAAGCTGTTATACAAGTAAACGCTGGACAAAAGTTGTTTGTGTGGGTTTTTTTAACACTTTGCAGTCACACAGCCAGCAGTACAAAATACCCTATCTGGTCACCCAGCCAGGAGAGTGACTGCAACGGACTTCTCAAGCCTGGCACCTGGCACAGAAAGGGGTAATTTTCACGGTCACATTATTGCGCCAAGTGACCGCAAAGTGTTAAAAAGGAAGGACGGGGGGGGACAACTTACTCATGTTGTGGTTGTCTTTCTTGATCCTCTCCTTCCTCCAGAGCTCGTCCTGCACCGACATGATGCCATTGTGGCTCAGGTCCTGGTGGCGGAACACCGGCGTGGGACACGAGGCGGGGGCCTGGTTCGAACCCTCAGGATCCACACCCTCATAGCCGGTGAGGAGGCTGCCGGACTGCTCAAGACAAAGGGAAGAAATGTGGACATTAGAGTTGGGTAAGTAAGGGGTAAGTAAGACGAACCAGACACAAGTATATTGTTGGTGTTCGTCAAATTATGTATCCCGCGACCTCAAGACTTTGTCGTATCTCCACTTTTTTAAACAGTGAAAATGTGACTTCTTCTTAAGCTCACTCTTTGTTATGAACTGTTTTCACTGTTTATTAAAAATGGAGATACGACAAGAAAGCACTGAGGTCGCGATCTGTCAAATTAAGTCAAATACTGTTTTTGAAAAATAAAATGTAATTTCTATCTTAGCGTGTCCAAGAATTGCTAAAACACTTGAGTAGAGTATTCTTTTACTTATTATAGTATCATCATTTGTAAATAAGGTTCAAAAAACTTTATTTCAGACAAAGATAAGTGTTTGACCTTGGTGGGTAGATAAAAAAATTGAGTCGACTCAGACACTGGTGATGCAGTGCTATGTGTCGAATTTGATAATGACACTGTGCTACATTGATAAACAAAATAATCTGTAACTGAAGACTAATTCTCTCTGCTTAATATATGCTATTTGAAACTTTTGATTTGTTATAAAATGGCAATTAGAGCATGTATCCACTCAGCAGATAAACACTTCAAAAGAATACTCCCACAATTTAAAAAATCTGGTGATCAGTCTTAACACAATGTGAGTGCACATACAGGACTATCCCATGCAACAATCATATAAACATAACAGCTTCACTACAAACGCCTCATTTCAACAAGAACACTTAGTAAAACAAAAGCACCACTAGACACAAATGTAGATGACCTACAATTATTGTCAACAATGTCATTTTCAGTACTGAAGAACACAGAAGTCAGTAGACTACTTAAGAAGTGTGGTGCTAATTAATGACAAGAATATAAATCTACTGAGAGTATTTGGGTTTCGCACAGGAATCTAAAAAATTATATCCATCCATTACATACTTTATACAGACGTAAGTAACACAGGGGCCTTCACATTAGCCTTAATTGATTATCAACACCTCAAAGTGTTACACAAGAGGGCAAAAAGGCTGAAGGAGCTGACGCATTGTTATCTGTTTATATCATAATAATATGGGACACGTCCGTGAACTAAATAAAATGCGCAGCACAAAAAAAGCACAGGCGTGCATAGCTCTCGGAAATCAATTCCGTGGCATGATTTTTCAACTCTGACAGAGTACTTGTCAGGGCTGATAAGATGTAAACTGTTTCATTTTATCCTTTCCCGCAGCTATAAAACAGCCTTAAATTTAAAAAATTATCAGCGAATGGACCTCATATCTGCTTATCAGTGTCTGGCAGCTGTCGAAAGCATGACAGTGCTTTTAACTGAATACCATATTTTTTGTAAACACAAATATTTGGGAGTCACAATATGGACTGGAAAAGTTAAAAATGCAAAAAAAATTATATGAAGGACAATGTCATTACTGAAATGACAGGCTTGTCAAGGTCACCTCACTCTAAGCTGTTACAGTCATTTGACTTGCAGGTCAGAGATTTTATGAACAGATTATCTCACAATACGCAGAATAAACTCTGTGTCTCACCTTGCCCCTTGAATCCTATAATTCAAAGACGTTTCAAATACATCAGAGTTGTATTATCATTTTCACAATATTCAAAGAATTCCATTTCATTCCAAAAAGATTGACATGTGAAATTCAAAATTTTTTACGCTAAATTTCTCAAAACTCTGTACTGAGCAGATAGAGCTTTGTAATTCTAGGGTAGCGATTTATCTTTTATAATCACTTTTTTTAAAAATCTTCACAATAGGTCATCACCATCATCACCATTGTCTTTCTCACCCTGCACCAGGGTACAGGCCACGGACAAACACTTTCCACCTTTCCCTATTCTGCGCTAACCTCTTGATGATATTCCACGTCTTCCCACTTTTCTGTACATCGATTTCTGTAATTCTTTTCCAGGTTCCACACGGCCTTCCCCTTGATCTTTTACCCTGTAGGTTCCAAATCTAACACTCTCTTTGTTATCCACAATAGGTACAAGTAACTGAGTAGTTCCACTCACCGAACTAGCTCCGAGCGAGGGCTGAATCTCCACCAAGTCACTGTCACCTAGCAGAGAGCCCAGCTCCAGGGTGTCCACCGACTGGAGGTCGCCCAGCAGGTCAAAGCTCGACGGAATAAACTGGAGGGAGGAAGAGAAAATGAAAGGTATGATAACAAACATCATACTGTGAAACAGCTTACTGGAGGTAGTGTAAAAAATAAAAGTTTGTCGAAATGAACTGGAGGAAGTGAAGGAAGCGAAAATGAAAGGCATGTTAACAAACATTATCTTGCGAAACAGCTAACTGGAGGTCGCCCAGCAGGTCAAAGTTCATCAGAATGAAATGGAGGACGGAAGAGAAAACGAAAGACATGATAACAAACACCCTCATCTTGCGAAACAGCTTACTGAAAAGTCGTGTCATTTCAATACAGAATAGATTCGGGAATAGATTTCACATAATGACTGTACATTAAATACAGGTGGTATAAATTTTCCAACAGATGAGTGTGTGTGGGGTGGGGAGGGGGGGTGGAAATAATATTATACTCCCCGATCTGACAACTAACTTAGAGAGAGAGAGACAGAGAGAGAAAAAGAGAGGGGGGGGAGAAAGAGAGAGAGAGTGAGAGAGAGAGAGAGAGAGAGAGAGAGAGAGAGAGAGAGAGAGAGAGAGAGAGAGAGAGAGAGAGAGAGAGAGAGAGAGAGAGAGAGAGAGAGAGAGAGAGAGAGAGAGAGAGAGAGAGAGAGAGAGAGAGAGATGAAACGTCCATGCTTGTCGATAATAATCCAACAGACCCACACAGGTCACCTATGGCACAGAGAAAAGAATAAAAGATCTGCCACCGCACAATAGGGCAAGGAATAAAAGAACCTACGACCACACGATGGAAAGGCATAAGTCATCAACATGGACACCTCATGTACAACTAAAGATCCCGTCTTCCTGGAGGAAACAAGGAACTAAAACATTTGCCATTTTTCACACTGCTATTACCGCATAAGACCAGGAGACAGTCTCAACGACAGTCCAGTCAAAGGTTAAATACAGATAGGGGCACAGAACGGGCCAGGGACGAGGTGGGCAACCAGGAAGTAATAATGATAGTAAGTTTAGCTTCAATAAACGTTTTACGGCACTTGCAACACAAGAAGGCCATATAAGTGTCGAAGATTATGTGTCACAAAAGAGTAACAAACACAAAAAAGGAGAGATCAGTTATAGCCTGAGTTCAAAAAGCACTTGCAACACAATAAGGTCATATTATAAGTGCCGAAGATTAGAGGTGTTACAAGAGAGTAACAATCAGAAAAAAAAAGAAGGACAGATCAGGACGATAGATGTTTGATAGGAAAGAAGAAGCAAACCACACCAGAGCACCCTCTAACTACTCACAATGAAAGGTTATATATATATATATATATATATATATATATATATATATATATATATATATATATATATAAATATATATAGGGATACAGAACAGGCCAGGGGCCCAGGGGCATGGTGGTAGGTAACAATCAACCAGGAAGTTTGATAGGAATATCAGACAGCATTTGTGCAGCGCGGCAATTTCCCACTAATCCCATACAACAGCAAGCTCTGTGAGCTTTCCAAGTACGTGTACAACGGGAGACCCCCAGAGATTTAAGGGAAAGGTCGTGCTTCTCTTCACGTGCGAAATGATCGGGTGTTTACCAAGGCCGTTCAGTGTAACGCGAGGGTCAGCAATAGTATTCCGTCTCTTTTTTTATTTAGTTGTAGTAAAAGTTTTACGGCACTTGCAATACAAATTATAGGCCATGTTAGTGCCGAAAATTAGAAGTGTAGATTTACTCCGTGTATATGTACTAAATTATTTTTTTTTCAATACAGACGATCGATCAAAGGAGTAGACCACACCAGAACACCCATCAATCACCCACCTTCAGTGAAAAATAAACCAGTTACATGTCTGATTTATATAACGGGACTCTCATAAACACAAATAATTATATACCGGTACTGTAATCATTGAAGCAATGCCCGTTCGTATCCATTCCATGTAAGTGTATATTTGCATTTAAAAAAGGAGTACCAGTCCACTTGATGTCTTTAGTTTTAGTTTTAGTAAGGTTTTTACGGCGCTAGCAACTGCATAGTCATATGAGCGCCATCTAGACTATCTACTAAATACAAGTCTACAACAATGCACAATACATGTACTAAACATTTTCCCTCTGCGTCTATAGTCGGCAAACTGTTCAAATGTGTTTAAGCCCAGAAAGCAAAATGTTTCAAGGGAGAGGGAAAAACCCCCCAACGGTTTTATTCCTGTAACAAAGTAGTTCCTAAATTATGTATTTTTGTATTAAGATTATTGTATTAAGACTTGCTTTTTCTTTCTCCAACATTCAGAATTTAGACAAAATATTTCTTGCACATGCAATGCAACCAATCTCACAGACTTAAAAACTGACCAAATAAGACAATTTTTTCAAGATTTTGGGCTTAGTAGTTTTTAACAGCTGGTCGAAGTTATACCGGTACTGCATTATGATGTGGGAGTTGTATTGACAAGAAAAAAAAAGGAAGAGGCTAGCCAACGGAAAATGTTAAATGTTTCAGGAGAGGGAGACTGCTAGGCTAGCCGTACTTATTAATTATGGCTAGACTGAAAAACAGCAAAAAAACACCCAAAAAACCCAACTCCCCCCCCCCCCCCCCCCCGAAAAAAACAGGTCTACTGAATTGTAAATACATTTTTTGCTTGCAATACCTAAAAGTTATTCTAGACAGTGCATGTATCTTGAACCTGAATAATTACTTATGAGACCCGTGTACTCAACAGGTTTTGGTCAATAGGGCCTAACCTAAGTTCGGCTAGCCTGTCAGTCCTTAACGTACGGCTAGCCTAGCCGTACTTAATAATGATAGCTGAATTTTAAATAAAATGCTTGTTTGCAATCCTAAAGTATTTGTATTTTAGACGAAACCAACAGGTGCCTTACTGACATGCATGTATTTTAAACCTAAATAATTACTAGATCTAAGGAGACCTGTGTACCCAAAAGGTTTCGGTCAAAACGGCCTGACTTTAAGTACGGCTAGACTTGCTGCTGGCTAGCCACTTCGAAAAAAAAATATATACCCGGTGCAAGCCTTACAGGATAAATCATCGCGACAGATCGTCGACAAATAGGCCGGTATCAACAAAAGTCTATAAGCAAACAAATCGAGGGCTGGGCACAAGAAGTGACTATAATAATGTATCCACTTTTGGTTGAAATGGAGTCAATCGGTGTGGGTAGTGAGACTTTAAATCGCTCTTTTACCTCTATAAATAGTATCTAAGCCGTAGCTTAATTCAGTATAGAGATAACTTTAAAAAAAAAACCCCACTATGTTATAGAGGTTCAAAATCGTCCAGATTTCAAACTAGTTTTTCTCGAAACTGAAAACTGGATATAATATAGTCACTTCTTGAGCTCAGCTGTCGAAATATTATTCCCTGTCGAGAAAATATGATAAATAATAATATTATGCACTCGTGAAAGTACAAACCATGCTGGGAATTCGGTAAAATGAGGAGGGGTGTGTCTTGTTGGTTCACGTCAGGATAACCTAGACGGGTCTGCTTAGCCTCCCGTCTCTGCAAGTTGTTTTATAGATCTACCCCTTTTCAAAATCATTACGGCGTGTAGAGCTATCACCCAGCTTCTTTTACTTCTACTTCTTCCATAGATGAATGAGTGCACGCATGCATAGACACGTTACGTGTGCACCATCCTCGCTAATACAACCCCATCTCGCTTTGATCTAGATGTCTTGTAGGGGTTTGTTCGTTCGGATGAAAAGACAAGACATTAACACGATACTGATCATTTAGTTCCGAGAAAGGGAGAGGGAAAAAAGAAGGGGGAAAAGCAAGACGAGGGGAAAGAAACAACAGTCGGAGATGAGGATCATAGGTACCCTCTCTACAACCATCTGTCTTCAGTTGCCAGGAAGACATATAATGGTTCTGTTCCCTATTCACGGAGAGAGAGAGAGAGAGAGAGAGAGAGAGAGAGAGAGAGAGAGAGAGAGAGAGAGAGGAAG